GTACAGGGGTTAGTTATGCAAAGGGAAGGTATTAGCACCCTAAACATCTACAGTACTCTGCATGAACCTTTTTGAAAATTTGTGTATTTTGGCTATAAATGGTGTATACAAAAATAGATGGTGGAGATTAGAAAAGAAGTATTTTTTACAATTTTTCACCTGCCGCAGTTGTGGACCTTTAGTGTCTATGTACCACCTTTCGTGCAATAGGGGATCAGGGTACTCGTAGTTCACCTTAAAAAAATTTAAAACACATGTGTGTTGGTTAATTTTAAGAGAGAATACATCATCGTCATATTCGAATGGAAAACATACTTACTATCCACGATTATGAGAAAGGAGAATTTACATCATCTTAAAGTGGAAGATATAGCTTGGATTTTAAAATCAACAAAGCCCCACTCAACACCCAAGTGGAAAATATCTCACTTTTCTACATATCGTAAAAGTATAGTAGTTCACATCACTACAAGAATCGACAAGAGTCTAATCTTTTGAGAAAAAGTTTTAAAGTAAAAAGCCAAAGTGGTAAAATGGTTTGAATGAGTTTGATTGACTTTTAGTCTTCTTACAAAATAAAATTCAAAGTATGATTAAGTTGGTTAAAGTTTGATTAAGAAAATATTTTTTTTAAATGCATGGACCTAATTCTAAGTTTATTATGAAAGTTGTTCTGGACTGGCCCGACAACTAGAATGGGCCCAGTCAAACCCTTCCTTTCAATACGATCCATACGTCTATGGCCTGAACCTCTTCCGCTCTCTGTTGGGCAATATCGACCCTTTGCCCTCCTAAACTGGCACTGACCTAAAATGATCGACTAGCATCTCTCAGTCTTCCCGACCTCAAGTCGTGCAGACAACCAGGAACCGACCATACCGCTGCCCGTAACTTACCTCCTCCTCAAAACCAACGGCTAGTTACGGGAACATCTTCCCAGTTTGACCAAGTCCTGGCAGTTACCTATTTTTGCAGACCCGCATATCTAGGCCCAAAAACATGAACTAATAGCCATGTGCCAGGGGCATTATATAAACCCTCACACTTGTAAGAGCCAGGTATCGAATATTTACTATTCGCCACTAATACCTTAACAATTTGCTTGTATCTCTTTGCTTCCACTATTACTTGATTGTCGGAGTGCCTTGCAGGTACAACCCCCTTTTTTCCTCGTCGAAATCACAGTCCGACCGTAGATCATCACCCATCCACCTTGCAGGTTCTGATCAACTGGTAAAATCAGTGGTGCCGTCTATGGGAAACTGCTCTCCCCATCTTTCTTTCCTTGAAACTCAAAGATTAAAGCAATTTTTCAATATTCCTTTCAACAACCATGGCCGACCATGATGATCTCCACCTGCTCGGAAAGGCTATTCTTTCCTCTGCATACAAAACCTACGGAAGCCTGGAACATGCTCACCTCGAGGATAACCTAGGTTTCCGAGACGACCAGACAGTGTCTCTAGATTCAACTAACGTCTGATGCAGAGATAACCAATTCTTGGACAAGGGACATCCCAAGAATCCCACCAAGGAACTGCCAGAGATCCTGCAACCGATTCCGATCCCTCTCAGCGCCGACCCAGCCATTGCAGTGTTGCTCGTTACCATCAACCAGGCCAACGCCCTTATCCTGCAGTAGAACCAAAGGATAGGGGCCATGGAGAAGAAGCGGTCAAGGTATCCCCCTCGAAGAACCTGACGATGAGACTCCCCCAGTATATCTCCACCTAGGCGTGGCCTTCCACCAAGAAAGGAGAAGCACAACATTTCTTTCTTCAAGAAACACAATCGTACACCTCCCACAAAGATAAAGACTCCCCTTCATCTAAGAAGAGGAAAGAAGACTTTCAAATCGAGTGAGCTCAATTACCTTCGCCTGAACCAAGACAGAAACGGAGGAGACCCTCCCTCCGGAGATACCGCGATGATCGACGGGGTAGAAATTATGACTCCCCTTCTTCGTCCTCCGCGGATAGTGAAGACGACAATGAAGATGTGAAAAACACAAGAAGGGGGGGTTGAATTGAAATTCTTGAAATCAAAAGCTTAATAACACAGTATTTTTATCCTGGTTTGTTTGATCTCAAACTACTCCAGTCCACCCGTCAAGGTGATTTCGCCTCTCTCCAACGAGGTCTTAATTCACTAATCTTAACAAGATTACAATCACTACTTTAACAACTGTTAAAGTCTTCTTGAGTACAACCACAGTCCGGTTAATCTGAAGGAACATTGTTTCAATACAATTATACAAGATATGTGTTGTTATTTTTCTTACAAAAACTGTTTATCACAACTGTGATAAATCACACAGGATTATAGCTTGGAAATGTAAATGATATATTGCTTGCATATTTGAATATGCGTGAGTGGTAGTGTAGCAAAATCGTTCTTGATTTTGAATGCTGACTTTGTTTATATAGGAAGTGGAATAACGTTGATTATAAAGCATGTTTAATGTCATTAACACACTTTCCATTTGGAGAAGATCCTGTCTGAAAGAAGCCGTTGGAATTGATGTTGTTATGAATGATCAGTAACGCTTCAGAATCTTATCTCCTTGCCTGCTGATGACGCTTCAGAATATTGATAACTTGGATTGGTATGTTCTTATTCAGAATCAGAGTTTACTTTGATTAAGCGCAGGTTCTATTCATTAATCTTCAGCGCATGTTCTGATTACTTCAGCGTGTAGCTCTTAAGGCTTATCTTCTGATGCTGATATGATCAGAACTTCTGCATACATAAAAACATAATTTTTAGGGTGCATATTTGTTCTTTGTATTTATTATTTATTCATTGTATTTGTTATCATCAAAACTCTAACTAAGGGTTGTAGAATCAAACTATGTTCTAACAATCTCCCCCTTTTTGATTATGACAAAAACTAGATATTTCAATTAAAAATAAAGAACAAAAGGTTTAAGAGAAACTCCCCCTGAGTTGATTACTTCCCTTAAGTTCCTTGAGCATCAGAATTTAGCTGCATCTTCTATCAGAATTTGTGCTTTCTCACCCTGTTCAAACATTCTCAGAAAGTAGAGGTTAAGTAATTTAGGATGTTTGAGACTTTTGTCTCGGTAAACCATTATTGGAAATATCTTACTTTCTCCCCCTTTTTGTTAGTTATCAAAAAGGTAATATAATCAAAGCCAAAAGATAAGAATTATATTAAAAGCATTAAGCAATGATAAGTTCCAGAACAGAAGAGGTAAAAATTAAGTGTTACAGATAAACAAATTTAAAACAAAAATCTAAGAAGGAGGGGGAAGACATGTGAACAACGCTTCCAGCAAGCTTTTGATTTGAGTATTAGACTCTTCTTGCTTTCCCAAAATGCCTCTGATTTCCTTTATGGTGTCTTCCTGTTTACCTAGAATGCTTTTAATCTCCTTGTTCGTGTCCTCCTGTTGATCCAACCAAGCATGAATAAGAGCATTTTCTTTCTTCAACTCTTCCAGAGTTTGCATGACTAAGGAGGTGTTGGAGCTTCTTCAGGAGTTGGATGTTGCTTAGAGCATTCTGCAGCTTTTTCAGAGTGAACCATTGCTTCTGCTGTAACCAAGTCTTCTAGAGCAGCAGTCAGGGAGAGACTTTCTGATTCTGGTTGAACTTCATCTGAGGGGTGATGCGCTGTCCAGGGAGCATTATCCAGAGAAAGGATTTCTTTCTTGAACAGTGGGGTCAGAACTTGTTCTTGAAGAGCCTTTATCTTATCACTAAAGTTCTGTTGAACCTGTTCATAACTATGTTCCTTCAGCTTCAGCGTTTCAGAACTAAGCCAGTTTCTGAATCTTATCCACAAGTAATCAGAAGTAGCAGGATTAGTCATCTCTTGACTAGCATGCTTCAAAGAAGTTATCCATTCATGCATTCTTGTTTCAAAAATCAACAAATTTGTACCAACATCTGATGGGTCTGATGTGGTTTCAGTTGGTTTGGGTTTGGGAATGGTGGTTTTGAGAGATATATTGGTTAGTCTTTCCAGCAAGATTGGATCAACGAAAAGTCTCAAATTGTCAGTTGGACGGATAGTAGGTGAAGGAGTGGGAGAGTCAGATATGATGATTGGTCTAGTGGGGGTGTTTGGAGAAGTGGATTCCATAGATGATGGGATTTCTGGAATATCGTGGATGGTGAGAGGCATGTGAATAGCAAGTGGTTATGTGATTCCAGGTATAAGGATAGTATCAGAATCTGAATGAGGTTCTTCAGATTGGTTTGTTGAAACATGAGGAGGTTCTGGTTCATGGATAACAGAAGATTGATTTTCAGAAGGTTGAACTTCTGGTTGTTGTATTTCTGTTTGAGGAATTTCTGGTTGATGAGGTGATGTGGTTGTGAAATTTCTGGTTGAGAAATTTTTGGTTGATGTGTTTCTGGTTGAGGTGAATTTGGATGAGGAATTTTTGTTTATGGATAGGTTGTTGCCGAATTGCTGGTGTGGTATCAGAGTTTGGATTTTATGGTACAGGAGCTTAAAAGTCTCGGTCACATAAATCAATATCAGACAGAAATTTGGCAAGTTCTGGTTGGTTTGTTCAGGATTTGGATTATGAGAAAGGGAGTGAGTTTCATTCAGACCTAGAGTTTCTGATGGGTCAAACCCTATGTCAAAGTCTTCAAATGTTTGTGGTGATGGGTTTTCTGGTTGAGAGGGCATGGCTTCAAATGTTAATATATTTATTGATTCTATAACAGTAACAGAGGAAGGATTACCTTTCTTTTTGGCAGTTTTTGGAGTCCTCTGAGATGGTCCTTCTGCTGCAGCTTTCCTTTTCTTGGTCTTCTTCAAAACAACTTCTGGAGCAGCCTTATGCAAATCCTCGATGTTGATTTCTGGTGCAGTACCATCTGCCTTACAAGCATCCATATATCTGACTATTATTTCTGGCTTGGAGTCAATCTCAGAGAAAAGAGGAAAATCATCCATAGGAATTCTTCTTGAAGTGATGGTTGCATAAGAAGTAACATTGGGTTCCTTCTTGATATTCTCAATGATTTTCATCTTCTTCAGATTTTTTGCGTTCAGGGGCTTCCCAGCAGTTGCTTCCAATGTGCTGATTTCCCGAGCTTCAATCAAATGCTCTATCAACCTATTCTCTGTCAGAATATATGATATGAGCCTGCCTAAGGGAATCCAGTCCCTCTTGGTCCGTTCACCTTCTCTTGTTTCCTTCACACTCGTTCTAAGGTGATTAAACAACAAGTGTGGAAGGTTTACCTTAGTCCTCTTAGAAATAAAATAGATCAGAAACTGTGGTGATACACCCTAGAATAATTCTTGCCCAAATTCTGTGGTGATCCTTCAGATGTCTGATTTTGCTGGAGGGAAGTGTTGTACCCCAAATTTTGACCTAAGATATCATCTCCTATATGCATCATTCGCATTGCAAATGTTTTGATCCATTGATTTTAAAATTCATAACTTTTTCAGGCCGAGAGCTATTTATGTTGAACACTACATTATTTAATCGATTCGTGCTAAAATAATGTTTATTAATTATTTATTATCTTAAATTTAAATAATTGGAATTTGTTTTCGATTATTATGTAATTTAAAGATGTATAGATAATAAAATAAACATTAGAAAAGAGGCGCATTAATCGTGCAGACAGTATTTATTTATTATGCACTATCTTAAATTTAAATAACTGGAATTTATTTTAAGTTATTACATAATTCAAAGATTCATGAATAATATAATAAATATTCGGAAAAGTTCATTAATTGGTCGATAATAATTATTTAATTATTTATCATTCTAAGTTAAAATAATTGAAATTCAATTTTAATTATTATAACTTGGAAGGTTGTGAATAATGAGTTAAATAATTGAAACTATTAATTGACCAATGATGTTATTTATTTATTTGTTTACTATTCTGAATTTAGGTAATTGAGATTTATTTTCAATTATTATACAATTTAAAGAATTGCAAACAATAAAGTAAATAATTAGAGAGAAAGAGGAAATTAATTGGCGAATGTTGGAATTTTATTCATTTTTTCTAATTGTACAATTATTGTGGTAAATATTGTATTTATTACAACAAAATTGCAATAATAATTTTACAAGGTTAAAATGAAATAAAATTTAATCTAATGTTCCTAATTCTAAATCTTCTGATCCAATGCATTTTTTGTCTACTCACTTGATGTTACCTGCAAAATTAAAAGAAATTAGAATTTGAACAAATAATTAAAAGCAAAATTATTTAATGTTCATCATTAAAAGCAATGGCCGGAATCAGTTTACCCTTTTTTACAAATCACGGGATTTCTCCCGGTTCACAAAAAAGAGAGGAATTTTTATAAACGAATGCACAAATTCACTTTTGTCAAAAATTGCATCTTTCAAGTTAATTGCATTTTTTAAATCCAATGCATTTTTTTAAAATATGCACAGCATACAAAGTCCATGCATAATCTCAACAGCATATGCAAGCACAAACAAAATTCCAACGTAAACCTATGCAACAACTTGAGAAGAGTCCAAATAACATAGGCTCCCATGCAAGTCAAAAGAGATGCAGTTTAAACAATTTTGCAAGCAATGTAACATTCCTTTTTTCATCATATTCCAGCCTTTTGCAATTTCAGAACAGCAGTACAAGATATCATTTTTATGTATCAACTTGTACTTGAGAGAGGAGAGAGAAAGAAGTTTGGTTTTGCAGGTTTTGGTTTAAGCATGAAATAGGAATAGAGTCAAACCATATGTAGCAGCATATGTGCAGAGCATCAGGAAAATATAATAAATATATTCAAATGAGCCATCAACATGGGAAGCAACGGTTATATGAGAAGACAAAAACCCCTTCAATAGGGGGGGAGGTCATAACCTGCAGGGAGGATTTTCTACACAAGACTATCAAAGCAAAAACCATTTTGCTCCAAGTCTAAAAACAAAACTAGCAAGAACCTGCATTACCAATAACCTACTGCTAAACCAGCATGACCATAAACCAATTTCCATAAAAACCATCACAGATATCAAAACCATATATCAAACAGTATTATCCATAACCATGGCAAAAACCTGCTGATAGCCATTTTCCATAAACCAGCCATCTTCTCCATCCACCACGCACAACTTCATACATATTTTCTTGTGTCTTAACTTTATATTCTTCAAAAACCTCCAACCTGCAAAAAGGAAACATATCATTCTTCACACACTTACTAAGCCAATTCTCATTCATGATACCAAAAGACCCAACCTTTATTTCACATTTTTACGAAATTTTTACAGTAAATCACCATCAACCATCAGCTTTCTTCAGATTTATCAGAAAACCTTACCATATTTACAGGTCCAAGAATATCCTGGGTACAAATTCATTGGTCTAACATATGGGCCTGGAGGTGATAATCAAAAGCGATTAGAGAAGGAAATTGGTGCCAAGATAAAAATTCGTGGAACCAAAGCAGACACAGGAGAGAAAAGTGAAATTAAACCAGCTGCTAGTTCCACACCTTCTGTATCTGTATTTGGGGACAGCACTAATGGTCTGAATCAAAACCAAGATCCCCCATCTCATGCAATTTCTCTATCTCTGTCAAACCGGGCTGTGTTTCAACCAGCAACCACTACACAAATGCAGAGGACGTAATTCGGGTTCAGAAGGAAAGTTAGAGAAAGACCAAGAACATAGTCAAGGACAATTCAACATACCAGGTTTATGACTCCATTTTATTAATTTCGACGTTATATTTGCTTCAGCTTCACTATAATCCATCATCTTTTGCAATAGGGGGGGAATGGTTATTAAGGGTTTCATTTGCTTGCCGCTGCAAAGACGTGTTACTGTTAATTTTGAAAGAGAAAATATACAATAAAAGTAAAAAAATATGTTTCTTACCTCCAAGCTTCACTGTAATATATGCTTCTCACCATATCCATTTCCCTTGGTCAGCCACCCCTCCTCTTCACCTCCCTCAACTTACACCGTCCTTCATCTAATCTCCCATTTCAGATCAAAAGTGCCCGTGAATTTCTTCCTTTGCTTTGCCATCTTTATGTTTCCACTTCAAATTTTGTCTCATAATAATATGGCATCATCTGTTAAGAAATCTAAACGTGAGAGTACAAGAAAGCCAAACTTGCTTGAATTTCCAGTAGATTTGACAAAGAACAAACTCCAAACAACTTTCATAACAACATAAAAACTCCCTCCACCTCTTTTCTCTTCATAACACACAAAAAAAAACAAGAAGCAACCCAGTTCAACACACAATAACCTTTCCTTTTTATCACCCTTATTTCCAACAGCATCTAGATTTAGAGCCTGAGCCTGAGCCTGAACCAGAACTAGAAACGGAACCAATTCAACCATCGAAGAAACGTTCACTTCCTCTTCCATCACAATCCCACAAAACCAAAACCCCTTGATCTTATTCTTCACATAACTACAAGAATGTTTCATGTTATTAACTCGTAGAACTTGAGCTCGAACAAACATTTTACCTTTCTTGTCTTCTCTCTTTTCAACTCATAGAACTTCATCTAAAATTTCACCCTAACCTCAAAATGATGAGCGCTCTAGACTTATACCATATCACTCACTCTCTGCATAAATAACAAACAACACTCTTCTCTATTCAAGAACCACCAATGGATGATGACTCAATGATGACATTAGCAGTATTATGGTTCGCCTTCATCCTCTTCGTTGTCTTGACATCTGAAAACAATGAACCTCCTCCCATTAACCCACTTGAACAAAAAGCACTCTACAATCTTCTCAATTCCATCGACCCAACCACTCCTTGGACCACCCTCTACCCCCACAATTTCTGCATCTCACCTCCGTCCTTCCTCCATTGCGGCTCCAAATCACACATTGCCCAACTCAACTTCGGTTTCATTTCCGATCAAACTCATCTTCTACCTTGTTCCCCTAACGCTACTCTCCAAGTTCTTCTTCTACTCACAGTAACACACCAATCTCGCATCAACCTACCTTGTTTCATTTACCTGCAAGTGAAAACAGAAAATAACAATTCCACTCAACAATTGCATCGATGTACAATCGCAATAATTCTAAACAAGCAGACAAGCTTCAAAGAGCGATAAGCTAATCGCTGCCTTCATCTACACAAAGCACAACACTGATGTGTCCGTAATGATTCAAACATCATACCTCAGCATTTTCTGGCTAAAATTTCTTCGCCGTAGGTAATTTTCCACTTCCAATTGCACTTGTTCAAGACGTTGTTTGTTGTGTTGTTGTTGATTTCTTTCTTTCGGGTCGCATCGGGAGAATCGTTTAGAGAACTGAGAGGAAGAGTTATAGTGTTGTTGTTGTTTATTCGAAGCGAGATTGAGATGTTGAAGCCGTGGACAGAGGGCGAGAGACCGTGAGAGAGTTAGAAGGCGATGGATGTTTTTTTTTGAGAGGTGAGCGTCAACAGAATGAGAGAGAAGGAAGTGTGAGAGTGAAAGAATAAAGGAAGCGTTGATTTGGAAAATAGAAGCAGAGAATAGTGAAGAGAATGAGCGACCAGTTTTAATTTCTAGGTTTGTTTTAGTTTCAATTCCATTTGGGCCTTTAACCAACCTACTCAAGCCCATTTGAATTTCTATTCACACCCATCTTGTTTATTTAAGCTTTAATAATGTTGTTCTAGGCCTCCCTTAAGCCTTTGGCCCATTCGCTTTGTCCTTATCTTACCCCCCCTTTTGATTCTTGACTTCTATTTGTTTCTTTAGTTTTTTTAGTTAATTAGTAAAACTTAATGGAATAATAGATAATTTAGTGAGAAAAAAAAACTTTATTAGTTTAACATTAGGTTTAATCTAGTAATTTTAGTATCTTTTTAGGTTTAGTTAAATAACTTTTAAAAGTTTAATATAGTTTAGATCTATTTAATAAATACTTTATATTAATACTAATACAAAAAACGTAAAAAAAATAGAAACATATAAAAGCCTTAAAAAATATTTTATTTCTTAATTAATTCTCTTGTTTTGCATACATTAAACAAAAATCCAAAAATGCATATTTACACCATTCAGTCATTTATTTAACTGTTGTTATTTAATCATTATCCGCATAATTTTTCTGTTTAATTATTTCATATTTACCTGGTTATTCTGTTTACGTCTAAATCCAAGGGAATTGTTTAATTTTTGTCGGCTTCATGTCATCAAAAAAACATTGTGCGAATACCCTCATTTCATCAAAACTTAGGGTAATTTTTCCTCAAATATTCACCCTTTTCAAAAACTTACACCGTTCAAGCCAAAACTTCGACATTAGGTCGTCGTATCTTCAAAAACCCGTCCGTACCCTTTTTTCGGCCAAAACAATTTATTTTTCAATCAAACGAACAATTTTAATAAAACAGATATTTCAAAAGGTTCCTATAGAGTACTATAGATGCATTGGGTGCTAATACCTTCCCATTGTATAACCAACCCCCGAACCATAAGATCTCTTTTCAAAAACGCTTTGTATTTTCAGTATTATTTACATTGCATATTTAGGGTTTTATTTCGCTCTTTTCCCTTTTCCTTTGGAAACAATAAAGCGCGGTGGCGACTCTTGCTCTTGTGAGACGAATTAATCAATAATTCGATCTCCGATTTACCCCGCTACATTTTTTATCGCTACAGAATTGGCGACTCTGCTGGGGGTAGATTGACCTCTTGCTGGTCCATCCCTAAGTGGGTTAAGCCTAATTTGTCTTATCTGTTTTACTATTTGATTTGCTTGATTATATGTTTAAATTAGGGTGTTTGGGTTTTTGCAAAGGACGAATCCTATACCCGGATTAAGTAACACTTAAGGAATAGGACGGGCGGTATAGTCATGTTAACTTTGAGGGAGTAATCCCGAAGAAGGAGGCATGAGATCCCCCACTCAATGGAAGGCCCTCTTGAACTTAATATTTGTTTACCGAGTAATCGGGAAGACATTGTTATTTTCGACCTAGGAGCCCGAGAAGTTGAGGACCGTAGAACCCTAACCCATCTTGGCCTTTTTAGGTGTAGTGCGGAGATTATGACGGAGTAATTCGGAAGTAGTTGTTACGCGATGCTACGCTCGGACGAGTTTCTCTTGAGAATATTGCTAATTATCGAGTAATTAAGACGTTGGAAATATCCGAAGGAGGAATGTAGACTCTGGGAACTCTTAGAACCTTGTTCTACAGGTGTGATTAAACCCTTAGTACATACCTTGGGGATGTTTTTTACCCTTAACTCCATGTTCGTGACGTTGAACCTTTCGACTTTATTTGTGACCTTGCTTGTGGTTGCTGCATAGCCATGCATTCATGCATTCATAAAACTCTTTTCACTTGACTTCGAAGGAATTTGGAGGTTTTTCTTTGTAAACATCACAAGTTTCGTCAAGCTCAATGGATCTTGGGTGTTGATAGGGCGAAAACCCTAATCCACCAAAATGGATGATTGATCTTGACGATAACTTGATCAACGTTTGGAGCCAATTTAAAATTCATCTGTTATCTTCATACTTGGATGTTTATAACTCGATATCTTGAGTTCCTTGAAAGTCAAATAAAATTCTCTTTTTCATATCATACATCATTCTACATTTTCTTTGTCTCACTTTCAAAGGTCTTTTTCCGAGTCTTATCTTTTCCTTTGGTCTCACTAGTACAACACTCGCGCTAAGAGGATAATGGAGAATATCAAGCAAGAGGTTTCTGAACTCCGCAGAGAGGTGACTGTTTTGAAGGCTGGTATGGAGCACTTAGCTGGTTTGGTTGAAGTTCTGGTTGCCGCCCAAGTCAACCCTTCTAGGAGGGAAGAAGCATTGATAAAAGTCTTCACGGAAACTCTAAAATCTTTTTCTCATGAAAAGGTGATGGTTAATGCATCTGATGACTTTCCTGACAAGGGGAATGTGGGAGTGCGTCTAGAAGAAGATGTCGGAAAGGGATGTTTATATGAAGACGGTAGCGCGGCTAATGGTGTGAAGAAGTTTGATAATGATTTTTCCATTACCTACTGTTCCAGAGCCAATGATTTTTCCTCTATAATTTCCTCCAAAGCCTACGTAGCCTCCAGGCTTAAGTTCCAGGCTTTGGAACATATGCCTTCTTCCCGTCATGTGTCGCGAGCAGCCAGAGTCCAGGTACCATGACTGGTGTCTTAGCCTTGCTGCTAAAGATATCTGCTACATGTATAATTTTATCCTTAGGTACCCACATTTTCTTGGGTCCTGATTGGTTAGTTTTACCAAAATTCTGATTGGATTTTGGTTTGACAGAGTATTCACTACTTGTGTATTTTATGTCATGTGTGTGCCCATATATAAAGTGTGATTTGAGTGGTGTGCGTTTTATAACTAAGTCCATGGAATTTTTTGGTGTAGATACCTTACCTTGATATCCTATCCCTTTTCTTCCATTTCTGCTAACTCCATAGATCATTGAAGCCATCTTGCTTCTGTCCATGTTTTAGCTAGAAACTTCTGAAAGTTGTGATCGTACTCTTTGATGATCTCAACAGCATTACTAGGAGTCTCAGAGATAGTTTCCTTCTGAGAGTTTTGCAAGTCATTTTCTAATTCTGAATTTTTTTCTTTTAACTCAGAATTCTCTAATATGAGACTCTCCGACTTTTCAGAGTCAGAGGCAAGAT